AGGCTGCTGGTTATTGTTGAGGACACTTTTAGACTTACTGAGGCTGCTGGTTATTGTTGAGGACACTTTTGTAGAATGCAATGTCGAGTCCAGTACTTGGCAAGATGTGGAATTCTGAGTTTGGATTCTTCTGAGCCATGTCCCACTCTTCCTCTAAAACATTCAAAATAATCTCATACAAACATATGAATGACCATAAAAACCAAAGATAATTTCAACTATCTAACCTAATGAAATTTTGTATGATAAAACATGCTATACTATTTTCTGCAGAGAAGTATTTTTTCTTTGGTAAAAATCACAGTAACATCTGAATACTTCGAGTAAACAGTCCATAACTGTCATAACAGTGTTCTTATTATTAATTTATGGTTAATTAGTGACCTCTAATGTACTGAAAAACAATCCACAAATTAAAACTAATTTAGCAAAGTCAAATTTATTCCAACTAAAGGCTATAGCATGTCTACATGTACTAAAATTAAAGGACAAGACTTAAGTGTTCCAGAGAGAGCTCCTGACTTTAACCTACACAGGCCTGATATACGATTTTTGTAGGTTCAGAACAAAATAGTATAGTAGTGAAATATATAGAAAGCTTGAAAAAAATCTTAATGTTGGCAGATTCCTATAGCAACATACATTGTAAGCTGAAAACTCAAATTGATTCAATATTTAGAGTGAAGCAATGAATTTAAAACTTTTACTTGATGATAAATTTATTTCCATTAGAAGAAGACAGTTTCTTCTTCTTTACTTACCAGAGTCAGCTAGCAGCACCTTGACGTCGGAGATTTTGATGAGGAACTTGTCGTACAGGTGAGCCTGCAGCTCTGATATAGTAGCATTGTGGAGTGGCACGTTGTCCTTCTGGAGGAGGTCACTCTCCACCGTAAAATTCCCCAGGTCACAAATCAGTAGGTTACCTCCCCTGTTGGAACACAAAATCTATTTCACCCAATTATCCTAAGCATAAATAATATTTTTTACAATTATCGTTAGATGCTTTTTGAAGAATAATTAAATAACAGTAGCGACTTCCTGACAGTATTTTCCCTTCAGCTTGCTCTATACTTTTTCAACATACACATAATATAATAACATTAAGGAAAAGTATCATGATATTAGCAATCCGTATTCCCCACCTCCAGCATTAAACTTTGATATCAAAGAAGACAAAGTGAGAGGAGACTCTATAGATAATCCAGAGCTCGTTTCACAACGAATTTCAACACAAATATGTAAATGATTTTTGACTTACTGATGGAGCGTTCCCTTCTGGGGAACGACGATATACGGTGACTTCATGTGCACAGAAATATGGAATGTCTGAAAATATACAGGAGTAATCAACAAAGAAATCTGAAGTGGAGTTTTATGATAATAACAAACATGACTGTAAGCAGAATTCATTAAAATGTCATCAAATTTTATCAAAAAAATCACTGCGATATGTTAATGGATTAGATTAAAGAGACTCAAATGGAAAGTTTAATGACAGCTACATACAGTAGTGATAAAAATGTGATAATATTTTTTTTTATCATTTTCTCTAATTCTTTTTAATGAAAGAAGTATATATCTACAAATCTTAGGTTTTTTACCCTTGTATGGTGGTAAGAGATATCAAATAATTCTGCGGCTACTGAAGATAGGACAGCTTTATTTTCAGGTCTTTACCTATTTTTTTTAACATTTCTTTAATTAAAACAAGGTTACCGCGAGCGGTATATAATACGCCCGTCACACATTGAATGAGCAGTTGTTTGTATGATTGAAATATATGAAGTATTTGTGAGTAATTGATATTAAAAGAGAAATCATTCAACATAACTGGTAGATCAATGAGTGCAATACAACATCATGGAACGCATGCATCGCATTAATGAAACCAAGGGTAATAACTCCA